ATACCATTAAACATTTTGAGAGAAAACTTGCATAAAATCCCTAGTTAATCTATTATTTCCAAATCTGCTTTGTGTATTTAGCCTCTTGCTTCAAGAAATAGGACTCTTTGTCAATTAATGTAATCTGAATAGCAGCAAGCATGAACTGAACTGGTAACAAGACAATCACTTCTGCTGCTGAAGAACTTTAAATTCGAGTTTCAATAATTGTTACTTTACTTAGATACTTAGGTGGAAGAAACTCAGCATATAAATAATACAATTAAAAGCAGCAAAACTAAGTCTCTCCATCTTTATGCTTTTTGAAATAGTAAAAAGAAGGCAAGGGTCTGGGAAGGTGGCTCAGTGGTAGAGCGCTTGCCTTGCATGCCTGAGGCCCTGAGTTCAATTCCTCAGCACCACATAAGCAAAAAGAAAAAAGCTGGAAGTGGCGCTGTGGCTCAAGTGGTAGAGCACTAGCCTTGAGCTGAAGAGCTCATAAATAGGTGGGAGACGCAATCCTACTATCAGATAAAATAGACTTCAAATTAAAATTAGTGAGAAGAGAAAAAGAAGGTTGCTACATACTAATTAAGGGATCTCTCCTTCAGGAGGATATTACAATTCTAAATATCTATTCACCAAACAATGGAGTACCCAAATTCATTCAAGAAACACTACTTTCCCTCAAATATCACATAGAACCAAAGACATTAATTGTTGGGATTTTAACACACCACTATCCCGACTAGACAGATCAAAACAGCCAAAAATCATCAACAGAGATACCACAGATCTAAACAACTGCACAGATCAACTAGATTTAACAGACATCTATCGAATATTTCACCCAGCAGTATCAGAATACACGTCCTTCTCAGCAGCACACAGAGCATTGGTCAAAATAGACCACATTTTAAGGTGACAAAGTAAACTTGTAAAAATTCAGAAACATTCAAATTATGCCCTGCATTCTCTCAGACCACAAGGGAATAAAATTAGAACTCAACACCAAAAGCCACCAAACAAAGTCCTGTAACACATGGAGGTTGAACAACACACTGGTGAACCACTAGTGGGTCATGGAAGAGATTAGAAAGGATATTCAAATATTCAACAAAATATGTTCAACATATTCAACAAAAATGAACACACAAATTACCAGCTCCTCTGAGACATAGCAAAGGCAGTCCTCAGTTTATAGCTCTTTGTTCCTACATGAACAAATTGGAGAGATCTGAAACCAACAATAATGAGACATCTGAACCTCCATCTCCTTGAAAAAGAGCAGCAAGCTAAGCCCCAATCCAGTAGACCAAAACAAAAAATTAAAATTAAATGAATTAGAATCCAAAAAAACAAAGAATCAACAAAACAAAGAGTTGGTTCTTTGAAAAAATTAACAAAATTGATAGACCCTTAGCAAATCTTATCAGAAAAAGAAGAGAACACACCCAAATAAACCAACTCAGAGATGAGAATGGAAACATCACCACAGAAACAACCAAGATTCAGAACAGTGTAAGGGAATAGTTCTCTAATCATTATGCTAATAAATTTGGGAATCTGGAAGAAATGGACAATTTCCTAGCAAATATCGACATGGCTGAAACTAAACAAGATGAGTTAAACCAACTTAACAGTCCCATATCAAGCACTGAAATACAAACAGCAATAAGAGACCTCCGATCTAAGAAAAGCCCAGGACCAGATGGTTTTACAGCAGAATTCTACAAGGCCTTCAAAGCAGAGCTCACACCAATACTCCTCTAACTCTTCAATGAAATTGAAAGTGGAAGTTCACTACCGGCCTCTTTCTATGAAGTCATCATAACCCTCATCCCCAAACCAGGCAGAAACTCATCAAAGAAAGAGAATTATAGACCCATTTCTTTGATGAACATCTATACAAAACTTCTCAACAAAATTTTGGTTGACTTCAACAACTCATCAAAAAATGATACAGTATGATCAAACAGGATTCATGTGAGGGATGCAAAAAGCTGGTTCAATATACTCAAATCAATTAATATAATTTATCACACCAACAAGAGCAAGGATAAGAACCACATGGTTATCTCAATAGATGCAGAAAAAATATTTGACAAGATTCAACACCCCATTATGAAGGCTCTGGAAAAATTAGGAATTCATGGAACATTCCTCAATAAAATAAAGGCTGTATATGACAAACCTACAGCCAGCATTATACTTAATGGCGAAAAACTAAAGTCATTTCCTCTAAACTCAGAAACGAGACAAGGATGTCCATTCTCTCCACTTCTCTTCAATTTAGTATTAAAATGCCAGCTACAGCAATAAGACAGGATGTAAACATAAAGGGGATCCAAATAGGAAAAGATGAAGTCAAACTCTCCTTCTTTGCAGATGACATGATCTTGTATTTAAAGAATCCCACGGACACCACTCCCAAATTACTTGAGCTGATTCGAAACTTCTGCAAAGTAGCAAGGTATAAAATTAACCCTCAAAAATCAATGGCATTTCTGTATGCCAACAATGACAAGAGTGCAGCTGAAATCAGGAAAACAATTCCTTTCAGAATAGCCCCACAAAAAATAAAATACCTAGGAATTAACTAATGAAGTGAAGGACCTCTATGATGAAAACTTTAAAAACCTGAAAAAGGAAGTCAGAGCAGAACTTAGGAAGTAGAAAAAGCTCCCATGATCCTGGATTGGAAGGATCAACATTGTGAAAATGGCAATATTTCCAAAAGCTATCTACCAATTCATTATGGTACCTATCACTATTCCAACCCCATTCTTCAATGAAATAGAAGAAGAAATTAAAAATTCATATGGAACAATAAAAGACCCCAATAGCAAAAACAATCCTTAACAGAAAGAATAGTGGTGGAAGATTATCAATACCAAATTTCAAACGCTACTACAAAGCCATAGTAATCAAAACAGTTTGGTACTGGCACAAGAACATACTTGAAGACCAATGGAATAGAACTGAAAACTCAGAAATGAATCCACAGACCTATAGCCACCTAATCTTCGATAAGGGAGTTAAAAAAAATAGAATGGAAGAAAACCTCTTTAGTAAATGGTGCTGGCAAAACTGTCTATTCATCTGTGGAAGACTAAAGCTAGATCCTTATATATCACCCTGCACCAGAATCAACTCCAAATGGATTAAACATCTCGAAATAAAAGCAGACACCCTGAAAACATTACAGAAAGGAACAGGAGGAACCTTAGGTCTTCTTGGCACAGACTGAAATTTTCTTAATAGAGGCCTAGAAACACAGTAAATCAAAGAAAGGTTGGACAAATGGGATTACATGAAGCTCCAGAGCTTCTGCATGGCAAAGGACAAAGGTAGCAAGATCAGTAGAAAGCCCACCGATTGGGAGAAGATCTTCACTAGCCACACATCGGATAAGGGTCTCATATCTAAAATATACTTGGAACACAAAAAATTAAATCTCCCAACAACAAATCCTCAAAGAAACAACTGCCTGATTAATATGTGGGCTAAAAACTTAGAGACTTCTCTAAAGAGGAAATAAGAATGGCCAATAGACATATGAAGAAATGCAATTCAAAACAACATTAAAATTCCACCTTATCCCAGTTAGAATGGCTATAATCAAGAACTCTAATAACAACAGATGCTGGAGGGGATGTGGCTAGAAGGGAACCCTACTGTATTGCTGGTAGGAGTGCAAACTTGTTCAACCACTTTGGAAAGTAGTATGGAGGTTCCTCAAAAGACATCACATAGAGCTCCTCTATGACCCAGCAATCTCACCTTTGGGCATTTACCAAAATGATCACAAACAAGAGCATACTAGGACTGGGAATGTGGTTTAGTGGCAGAGTGCTTGCCTAGCATGCATGAAGTCCTGGGTTCAATTCTCCAGTACCACAGAATGGTGCTGTGACTCAAGTGGTAGAGCACTAACCTTGAGCAGAAGCAGCTCAGGGACAGAGCCCAGGCCCTAAGTACAGGCCCCAGGACTGGCAAAAAAAAAAAAAAAACCAAGACCACACTAAAGCTACCAGCACAGCTATGTTTATTGCAGCATTATTTACTATAGCTAAGATATGGAACCAACCCAGATGCTCCCTAGTGGATGACAAGAAAATGTATATTTTACACACACACACACACACACACACACACACACACACACGGACCAAGAAAATGTGATGTATATTTTACACACACACACACACACACACACACACACACACACAACACACACACTAGAATTCTATGCCTCCATCAGAAAGAATGGCATTGCCTCATTTGTTATGAAATGGAAAGACTTGGAAATAATTATACTAAGTGAAGTAAGCCAGGCCCAAAAAGACATAGATCCCATGGTTTCCCTTATTTGCAATAACTAGGACATGTGTAGGAAAAGCAGAAAAGGCCAAAAGCTATGTACATATGACCATATAAGATCATGTTAAGGGAAATGAACCCTAAGATAGGGACAAAAATATCTTTTTTTTTTCTTGCTATTGTTTCTAATGTATTTATAATATACTATGTGATTTTTTTTTTGTTGCTTTGTATGTTCTTCCCCCACAGTATAACCCCTATTTTCACTGTATTTGATGTCGGTGCCCTGCATCTTATATATACACTTCTCTAATTGGGGGAGAGAAGGGAAAAAACAAAAAATTTAAATAAGAATACAGGTTCACCCATTTTAACAATGAGATGTACAAAACACTGTTGAAAACAAACTTTTCAACTTTGTTGGGGGTGATAGGGGGTGGGAGAGGTAGGAGTGGGTGGGTAGTTGTGGAGGTGGGAGCAAAGGGATGGTAAGGGGAAAATAAAGGTGGCAACAATGCTCAATATACTCATTAACTTGCTCATGTAACTGTAACCCCTCTGTGCAAAATTTTTACCATAAAAAACATACAAAAATAAAGCAAAATGATCATATTTTGCTTTAGCTAATTCATTCAAGAAACAATGTAGTACTTGTACTGTATTATTCATTCCTCTTTCATGTGATATACATCACTTACCCTGCTTTCTTCTAGGCTATCAAATGGACCTGGTGGGTCATCCAGACAAAGAAATTCTCTCACTGCAAGGCTTTTCAAAAGTTAAAAAAAAAAAGTTAGCTGGCATACAAAGAAGTTTACAAAAGATAGTAAAAAGCAAAAATTACTTTGAAGCTACAGTGTTTTAACAAGTTGGTTATGTGCCAACTTGGAAGTAACAAATTTCAAATATCAAGCTATAGAAGATGAAAGTATGTTAAACTATTATCTAAAATCTTATGGACATAAATAAAAACTACAAGTAGATTGTTACATATAAGCTACAGGACAAAAAACATAATTTAGCATGATGGAACAGGAAACTAACCTAAGTTATGAATTACCTCTTTTTGACTTTCAAAGAATTGTTTGCTCCAATTAGTTTAACAAAGTCATTGTCTTATTATGAACAAATAGAATGTTAGATTATGTGCTACTTATGTCTTCTTTGGTAGATGTTTGTAAAGGAACTGAAAAAGCATTTAATCTGAGGTAGTTTAATTTTTTTGAGGTATTTTAATAGAAAAAAAATGACCCTCCCATTTTTGTTGTACCAAGAAATTGACAATAATGAGTATACTTGTTACGTTTGTACATTTTAATACTCAGAAGTAGGTTAAGAAGGCAGGTAACCAAACTTCTAATAAAAATATCCCACCTCTTCTTCAAAAGCAAGATTTGGTCTAAGACAGCTTGTGACAAAATTTAGATATGCAGTATCACAAGAGATAATTGATGTACTTCACAAAAAAGATATTAATCTACACTGAAAAGGAATAGGGCTCGTGGGTTCAGACTGGACCAGAAAGGTTTATGACAGGGATAAGCATGAAGAGATAAATGGGACTTTAAGTGAAATTTTTCCAAAAGAAGAATCAGTATGAATTACTAGAGAAGTAGTGTCAATAAAAAAAGATCTCAAAGACAGATGAAGTTGGTTGGTAATAATATGGCAGCAAGAAAAACAAGCTGTTGACTATAAAATCTTAACAACATAGTACAAAAGAATACACATTTAGGGAGGTTGAGAAGAGACTTGAGCATTCATCATCACAGAATAAGAAATGGAGAGACATTAAATGCAAACTATCCATAGTACAGTTTGTCCTTTTATATGGTTTACCCCAGAGTATATCTGAACACTATCAGAGATGGGTAATATTCTTCCCCTTTACATAAAGTATCTTCTGTGTGAATAAAACTAAAAATTGTTTCATTAAATTGGAATTTTTTCTCCTTGTACCTTCTATTTATGAGGCTTAGTTATGTTTTTTGGTGTCATTTAGAGCTCTTTTGCATGTCAAGAATGTTACGTCTCCAAGAAACAATATTAGTAACAGAAGTACTTCACAGTGCATTGCACACATAGGACTTTTATGTCTTCACAGCCATAATGTGTGGTTAGGATAGCCAATTTCTATGCATTTTACTAATAAGTTCCAAGTTAGAATGAGTCAACACATATACAGTGCAAATTGTAAATGTGTCCTTTTGTAAAAGTTATAAAATGTTTTATGTTTTGGATTGATTGGATTCCTTGTCCTTGCAGCCCACATCCCTCTTAATTGCTCAATCTGGATGTATTGCTTGTATGTATGCTGGTGGTTAGAATACTGCAATTGGCTTAACAGCATAGAATACATGCACTCATTTTTGATAATGGAGTTATCTATTACTAGATAAAAAATGAACCACAGGTAATAACTTGTACTTGGGCTGGAGATGATAAAAGTATGAATGAAACAATGAGAAAACAATTCAGACTGAAAGGAAAACACTAAGAAGTATATGATGTTTAATAATTTCAGTATATAATAGCCCAATGTAAGACTTATGCTGATTTACACCAGATTCCATTATACTTTATTAAAAAATATTTTTCAAGATAGACTTTTGCTATGTAGCCTAAGCTGTCCTTGAACTTTTTTTTTTTTTTTGAGACACTGGGAATTGAAGTCATGGCCTCATGCTTGTGAAGCAGGTGCTCTAGCACATGAACCACACATCTAGTCCTTTTGCTTTTTAGTTTGTCTTTCAGTAGAGTCTCACACAAACTTTGCCAGGTTTGTCTTGGAATCATGGCTCTCCTACTTCTGTCTCACATTTTTTTCTCTTTCCCTTTGTTCCTTTTTTCTTTCCTTCCTTCTTTTTTTTATTCTTTCTTTTCTCAGAAAGGAAGCTCTCACTTCTGCCTGGTAGTCACTGTCTAGAAAACCTTATATAGAGTCAATAAATACTTACCAATTGTTTATGTGAATCATGGTTCTGGTTATATATTTTAACATATTATTAATGCATGAGTTATAAACAAGTCAAGGAATTTTTAGTAGTACATTAGCACAAATTTAATATCAGTAGGTGCTATGTGGAGTAAATTGAAATCATGTATATATAAAAAAGTCTTAACTCTTTTGTTGAGTGCTGGTAATTCATGCCTGCAATCTTAGCTACTTAGGAGGCTGAGATCTAGGATCATGGTTCAAAGCCAAACAGAGCAGGAAAGGCCATGAAACTCTTATTGCCAAATAGCCACCAAAAAGCCAGACAGCAGTCCTGGAGTTCAAGACCTAGGCCTTTTTAGATAGATTCAAGATAACCCTCTAATCTCTGTTCTGCCCTAATCTCTGTTTCTATTTGGACTGTGATAATGGATATAAAACTAAAATAACTGGAGAGAAATCTATTGAAGGGAAACTTATCTTGATTTAAAAGGCAAACAAAGATCTGTAACATTCTTTCCCTTTTATTACCAAGAGTTCTGGCTAAGTATTCAAAGAAGCAATTTCAAAGTGGAGACCAGCTGTTGATTTAAACTACCTGAAGAAGGGATCAGATCTTTCTGCACTTTTACATCTAGAGAAAATTTGCATTAACACTTAAAACTCTTCCTTTTATTTTCTTAAAAAATATTTTTCAAAGAGTCTTGTTATATTTTTAACTATTTTCTTAACATAGTATTCTATCTGGTGAACTTTCACCTTATATTTATTGCTGCTTTTCTCTCCTTTGTGTTCTTTCATAGCTATGTATTTGTTTACATGTCAGTAATCTTTTTTGAAAGCTTAGTAATTTAATATTTTTTAAATTTTAAATATTTTAATATTTAATATTTTTAAAATATTTTTATCTGTTTAAATTTCAAAAACAACCCAACTATAAAACCAAGCTTACAATTCATTAAAAGGCCAATAAAAAATTAGGTAAAATGCTGTGTAGAGGTACTCCATTATTTGGGAGAATGAGGCAGGAGCATTACATATTCAAGACCAGTGGGAGCAACAGTGCAGGTATTAAACAAACAAACAAACAGGTATTAAATATAACCTTGAGGATGAAGTTAATGACAGAGGTGGTCAGGATAAGAGAAGAGAGATGAGTGTGAGGCTGAATGACTCATATTAAGTTTGGCAGAGAGAACATACTTTAGATACTGATCATTCCTCACATAGACACTTTTAGCTCACTGACATCTATAACTATCAGTTATAGATGAAAATATTTGTAATTAGTATACATTTGTAGCCTCAGGGTTTCATTGTGATATATCCATACATACACACAGTGCATTTGTTTTTATTTGATACCCTGGCCAACAGTGCACTTTTACATCTATAGTGGTATGTCATGTGTACATGCCTTTAACTTATGTTGGCTGATAATATCCTAGCCCATTCTTTCCACTTCTAAGTGGCTCTTATTTTTCATGACTCACCTTATGTATTATTCATTCATCAAAGCTTTCTCTGACTAATTCTCCTTTCTCTATTATCTACCAGATTTGATGGTCTTCTGCATACTATCACAGTACCTTGCATATCCTTTACACTGGATTTATTATGCTATAACTTGTATTTTTTAAAGCACCTAAAAGAGAAAAATATCGGTAAATAGAGTATATGTGAAATAGTTTGAAAGTAGAGGATAGTGGAGTGTGACTCAAGTGGAGTGCCAGCCTTGAGTGAAAAGCTAAGTGAAAGTACAAGGCCCTGAGTTTAAGTCTCCAACTAGCGCGTGCATGCGCACGTGCACAGACACACACACACACACACACACACACACAGGAAAAAAGGATACTAAAAAAAGGATACTAAAATCTGGCTGTCCTCACTAAGAATTTCACAGTAGTACATGAAAGTATAAAACAATAGCTACATTTTAGCCATGGCAGATTATAGAATGTAAGACAACCTTTATGTACTTTCAACCTACACAAACAGAATAGACCTACACCTCCTACATTTCTTCTAGAAAATCCTTTCATTGAGAAAGTACTGTCACCTTCTATTTGATGGCATAAATATTATTACCTTTACAGTTCACCTAAAATGCCATTTTTCTAGGAAGTCTTTTCTAATTCTCTCAATAAAAAGTTCTGTATTTTTTTTTTCTCTAAAGGAAATTTAAGGACAGATGCTGGTGGCTCACTACTATAACCCTAGCTACTCAGGAGGCTGAGATCTGAGGACTGTGGTTTGAAGCCAGTCCTAGCAGGAAAATCCATTGGACACTTATCTTCAAAGCTGGAAGCAGAGCTGTGGCTCAAGTATACAGTACCAGCCTTGACAAAAAAGCTGAAAGATAGCTCCCAGGCCCTGAGCTCAAGCCACAGTATTGGCATACAAAAAATAAATAATAAAACAAAATAAATTTAAAATTTTAATGTATTATCACTTTGTCAGGTTTCAATCAGATTTTTTAGATTTTTTAAATTTTATTGTAAAGGTGACATACAGCGAGTTTACAGCTACATAAGTAATGAGTACATTTCCTTTTGAAATCCCCTTTTGTCATCTCCCTCTTTCATTCTCTCCCAGTTTTTCCCCTCCCCCCAAGTTGTATATAGGTAATTTCCAACACAGGGTCTGGCCAGTTTTTTTTTTTTTAAATAAAACAAGAGAAGCATCCAAATACTTTATGTGGTCATAATGTAGGTACAGTATGTTGTAAATAAATGTTTGTTAAAAAATAAATATCTCTAGTGAATTCTTTTATTATGAAATGCCTGTTATTTTATAAGTGCATATAATAGTAATAGCCTCTTAATACATTCAGAATAAGATCCTTATTATCCCTTCATTCTTTTTGTTTTGTCGGTCATGGGGCTTGAACTCTGGGCCTGAGCGCTGTCCCTCAGCTCTTCAGCTCAAGGTGAATGCTCTACCACTTGAGCCACAATGCCACTTTCAGTTTTTCTGGTGGTTCACTGGAGGTAAGAGTCTCAGACTTTCCTCTTGGGCTGTCTTTAAACCAAGATCCTCAGATCTCAGCCTCCTGAGTAGTTAGGATTATAGGCATGAGCCCCTTCACTTCTTATTTTTCTGCTTTCTGCTCTGTTACAGTTGAAGCTCTTGTCTATTAAGAAATGCTATTGTGCAATGTCAAGCTCTTGGCCAACTTGAAGGCTAAGAAATCACTGTGCTGTAAGTTGTGAAGCACATCAGAAAGGACAGTGAAAGAACAACAAAAACTCCTATGTAAGTAATATTAAATGATGAGTTAGTCACGCAGAGATAGTAATTTTTTTTCTTTTATTTTTATCTGAGCCAAGGTCCACTATGCAGCCTAAGCTGGTCTCCAACTTTGAATCTTGCAGCCTCTACCTCCTGAGTACTACGATTTCAGCCTGCAATGTTTAAGTTTTTTATAAATATATATTTTATTGTAAAGATATTGTACAGAGGGGTTACAGTTACATGAGCAAGGTAATGAGTCCATTTCCTATCAAGCATTGTTACACCTGACTTTCTTTTTCCCCTACCATCCCTTTCCTCCCCAATTCCCCAACTCTTCCCCACTCCCCTCCTTCCCCGCAAAGTTGTAAAGTTCATTTTCAACAGTGTCTTGCACATCTAGTCATTACAATGTGTGAGCCTGTATCCTTATTCAGCATTTTGTTATTACCCTTCCCCTCCCCAAATTAGAAAGAAGCAGGACACCGGAATCAAATACAGTGACAATAGGGGTTATACAACAACAACAAAATCACATAGTACATTATAAGTATATTAACAAGAACCGCAAGAAAGATAAAATCTCTTTGTGTCCCTATCTTGGGGTTCATTTTGCTTAGCTTTAGCTTATATGGTCATATGTACAAAGCTTTAGACCTCTTCTGCTTGTCCTAGACATACACTAGTTATGCAATATTTGACTTTTAAGGACTAAGATTGATTATCAATGATTATAAAGAAAAAAATGTGAATATTTCAACTAAGATACATTTTTGCTACTTAAATAAAACCAAGAGTTCAAAAAAGGAGTCAAAGTATTTGATTAGGTAAAAATACAGTATAGTCATTTAGAGAATAAATTGGGATCATAACTCACAACATCTTTTTTGTTTTTGGGTCTGGTCATGGGGCCTGAACCTTGGGCCTGGGCGCTGTCCCTCAGCTCTTCAGCTCAAGGCTAGCACTCTACCACTTGAGCCACAGTGCCACTTCTGGCTTTTTTCTTTTTGCTTATGTGGTGCTGAGGAATCGAACTCAGGGCCTCATGCATGCAAGACAAGCACTCTACCACTGAGCCACCTTCCCTGCCCATCACCACAACATTTTAAACATCTTAAAGGTGTGCTGAATAAGTTATCCAAAGAAATAAAGATGTTGAAATATAAGACTATTTAGGAAATCCCTAGGCTATTGCTGGGTGAAGTAGTGGTATCAAGTGTTGCCTTTCTAGGAAACAGCATCTTTGAAGGATAAAGGAGCAAAGTAACTTTGGTGATTATAAAGGACTAATATTACCTCTCAAAATGGGCATGAGGGTGGGGAGGAAAAACAGATACAGGACTAGAAAGGCAAGTGGATAGGGATCAGAAATAATCAAAGTATATCACAAAAGGTCAATAGTATCCTAATAGGCTATAAGACAAAAAAAAAAATGTATTAAGTGAAGACCCAAAGAAACCCAGACACAAAGAAACATGGCTGCATGGTTTCCCTCATTTGTAATATCTAGAATATGTCTAGATATTCTTAGGAGAGGATCACAATAGCTCAATAGATATGTGCATGTGGCCATATAAAATGATCTTTTATCAAAATGAACTCCAAGAAATGGAAACAAGAGGTTTTTTTTAGTGTACTGCTTGCAGTTCTTTTTCTTTCCTTTTTCCCCTCTTTGGTTTATGTTCTATTGTAACTATTTTTGATTTCTGTACCCTTTGTCTTGTATATAAGTTTATCTGATTTGGGGAAGTGAAGAGGAATCACAGAAACGGTGGGACAATGCGCTACTTACTAGACACTATGTTGGAAATGAACTTTATAACTTGGGGAGGAGGGGAGTCAGTGGCAAGTGGTAGAAAATGAAAGAGGGGTAACACTGTTCCAAAAGAAAAGTACTCATTACCTTACTTATTTAATTGTAACCCCTCTGTACATCACCTGCACAATAAAATTAAAAAAGAAAAACTGGAAAAGGAAAATCCAGTGGCTAAGGTTTCTATGATAATTAAAACAGAGATACTCTCTTGGACTAGGTTGGTAATGGCAGGGATAGAGTAAAACAGATAATCTGGTGGAATGTAAAACATAAAGGAAGGAAAAATAGTGAGGATGGCCAGGTGCTGGGGGCTCATGCTTGAATCCTAGCTACTGGAGGCTGACATCTGAGGATTATGGTTTAAAGCCAGTCTTGGTAGAAAAGTGTGATCTCTCCAATTAACCACCAATGGTAGAGTGACAGCCTTGAGCAAAAACGCTCAAGGACAGCATCCAGGCCCTGGGTTCAGGCCCTAGGATTAGAAGACACACACTACATATACACACATACACACTAGTGAGGGATGTGTGAAAGAGGACACGAAGATGCTAAAAATTAGGGGGAAATTGTTTAGAGACTATGCTTTTGTTTTAGGTTTGATGAAACTTTTGAGTATCGGAGGGAAATGTCAATGAGAGACCTCATAGTACATACTCCTTCAAGTATGTAGGGATTCAGGGTTCTAAACAACTGAAGAATGCTTTTGCAAGGTGGGTGGGTGGGTAAAGAGGTGGACATGAGCAATTAGGAGGAAATGCCCTGTTTAAAAGATTCCATTCTTAAACCCAGATGGCTAACATTCTGGACAGATTTCATGATTATGGTCTTATATCCTCTTTATAGATCACACTCTCTGTATTAGGGCTGGGCATGTGTTTCCCGAGTTAATTACCTTTTACTGGAAAGTGCTAAGCTAGAAGGGGCAAAGAATATCAAGTTCACAGGCACCTGTCTTCATCAAAACAAGTAAGAGTTCCCAAACTACTAAGAGGTTGTCAAACCACGTGAAGAGGGTTGGGGTAGGGCTTTCGTTTTGAATCACCCAGTAATGTCACACTATTTACATAGTAAAATGCTCTATACTTTATTTTTGGTGTCAGTCCTGGGGCTTCTGATGGCTTGGCTGCTGTTCCTGACAAGGCTAGTACTCTAACACTTGACCCAGAGCTCCACTTCTGGCTTTTCTGGAGTTTAATCAGAGATAAGAATCTCATGGCTTTCTTGTTAGGGATAGCTTTGAACCAGGGCTCAGCCTCCCAAGTAGCTAGGAGTACAGGCATGAGCCAACAATGTCTGGCTCTGCTCTCTACATTTTTCTTTTCTTTTTTGTTTGTTTAAAGTTAGTGTTCTACTGCTTTGAGCCACAGCTCCATTTCTCCTTTTCAGAAGATTAATTGGAGTTAAGAGTCTCATGTACTTTTCTGCTTGGGCTGGCTTTGAACCGCAAAACTCAGATGTCAGCCTCCTGAGTAACTAGGATTACAGGCATGAGCCACCAGTGCCTGGCTGCTCTCTACTTTTTAAATCAAAGATTTTTTTCAAGAAAAATTTTCCAAAATTTATCTGGTAAAGTGAGTCTTCAGATGAAATAGTTAATTGTAATTATTAGCAATTTTCTTTCATAAAGAACCCCATATGGATCTTTCTTCTATATTTTCACATCACACTCTATATAAATAACACAACTTCTACAACTTTCATATTTTTACATTATTTTTGAGTGATATGAGTAGTCTGAAACATATTTAGTGTCATATTACCCAAAAGATGACTAATATGTAAGTCATTGTGTTCAAATGATTACTAGGAAGCTAAATCCTAAAATCAAGTTTACAGTTGGGTAGTTTGAATACATGGTACAATGAATTTTTATCTTCACTAACTTTAAAATTTTTAATGAAAAATAGATGCTAAAATCTTCCATAAAAGAAAGAAAATCCAACGTAGTGCTTTATTGCAGAAGATAAGTAACTATACTACTATTCTACATTATGTGCTTAAATAACTATAGTCCCAGATTTACTCTTAGTTTGTCAGTTGTTAGAATGCTTTTATAATCTCTTATTTCACTTTGTTACATACCAGTTAGCAATGTCCTTGTGAGCTACTAAATTTTGAAGAAATGCTTGCAATCCTAATTGTCTGTCTTCTAAAAAGTCGACATTGTAATTATCTTTAAACCAACGCTTTGGTGGAAGTGCTAATCGAAAGCCTGGAAACATTTCCTTTAACTGAAAAAGAAAAAAAAGTTTAAGTCAAATAAATTCTATAAAGTCTATCATGTTGAGTATGTGAAATCATTCATGAAATAAACTTAAAATAGTCAAGCTTGGCTAAGCTTTTTATGCCTTGTTTTATGTCTTGATTGCTATTAGTCCTTTGTATCTAGAAGTGAGTTCTAGTTGCTTCACATCCTTGCCAAATCCTGGTGGAAGTCATCTTCCTGTTTAATATTTTGAGTGGATGTGAAGCAGTATTTCATTGTGGCTGTAATTTGCATTTCTCTACTGAAAAACAATGTAGAAAAGCTTCTTTCTCCCTATCTTTTTTTTTTGCATATTTTCTCTTAAATTACCTGTCCTAATATTTGATTAGAACATTAAAAATAACAGAACTGTCTTTATATGTATTACAAATATATCCCCCCAGACAGGTGTGACTTGAAGTCATGCCTGAGCAGATATTTTAATTTTTAGTTTATCTAATCCAATCATCCATTTTTCCTTTTCTAGAAACAGAAAAAATAATTTTTTCTTTTTTCTTTTTGGTGTTTTAAGACAGATTCTCACAATGTCGCCCATGTTAGCCACCTCATGTTATTTAACATGTTTGTAATGAAAATAAAGTAATAAACACAACAATCAGGAAATTCAGTCTTTTTATTAGCTTCAGGCTTAACAACTAAATGCCATCTATGTTCATTATTTTTTTTCTCTTAAAAATTATCCAATGAAAAAGAAGTGAAAATTCCCCTAGAAAAACAGTGACAGTCAATCTCAGGATTGAGATTACAGATAAACTGAGATTAAGGGTAAAATAGTTCAGGACAGAGCAATTTGTCTAAGGAATCAGACATGTCAAGGACTAGCACTGAACTTTCTATTTTGATGACTAAATAGGAGGAATTTAAACACTTGGCCCTGACTGAACTAATAGTACCACTTCCTTGCTTCTTATTCTCTGCTGGCTGGACTCTTCCACTCTCACTATCCAGAATCATTCATCTTTGACTGCTGTGACATAGAGCTAAAAAATACTGACTTTTCCAGAAGAACTTACATAAACTCATTCTTAAGGCTAAACCAATGCATCTCCCAGGCCACTCTCTAACCCTAATGCTGCCATGATGCCTCTGTAGGTAAGCCCCACATTCTAGAGCACCCTCAGCAGACTTCCAGACTTTGGAGCCTTACCTTAATCCAGGAGATTGAAAAAAAAAAAGGTAGGATTAGTGATTAACAGAGAAATTTCCCTTTCTAACCAATATTGTTTGAGCTATGTTAAGTACAAGATTGTCCTGAAAGTACTTGTTTCATTAATATTTCAAGATTTAACTTATAGATGATACCAAGATTTTACTATATATGTAACTATTATGAAAGAACTATAGCTTAACCTATGCATATGCCTAGAGTTGACACACATTTTTAATCTTGTCAGCAAAAGTAGGTGATGGGTACCAGTCTTTCTGGTACCTAGTATAGTCCTTCATTAGTTATAGTTTTGTTTCCCCTGATTTCAGAATCCCCATGATCAATTGTGGTTCAAAAACTATTAACTGAAAAGTTGTGTAAACAAACAATTCATAATTTAAATTAAATTTAAATCACCTGTTGCTTTGGATAACATGATGAAATTTCATGCCATCCTGCTCTGACAAGGTGCCAATCATTCCTGGATACATGAATCCACATTGAATAAGCTGTCACTTAGCTACCCTCCTTGTTTTATCTTATTGTTATTATAGTGCATTACCTGTGATCAAAGAACCTCTTATTTGGAGGAATAGTATTATGAGCTGTTATAATGCCATTTCCTTCATACCATGTATATCTCATGTAGGCATTATGTTATTTCTTATCTACATTACTAAATATTTAAAGTGTTACCTGTAACATGTCAAATCATGTAAAATTTCTATTGTCCTTTGGGAAAATGTATACTTCTAATACTATGTAATACCAGTTAAATACCTGTCAATTTGACAGACATAATTTCTTACTTTTGTTTTTTTGGTCAGTCCTGGGGCCTGAACTCTGGGCCTGGGTGCTGTCCCTCAGCTCTTCAGCTCAAGGCTAACAGTCTACCACTTGAGCCACAGCGCCACTTGCAGCTTTTTCTGCTTATGTGGTGCTGAGGAATCGAACTCAGGGCCTCATGTATGCAAGGCAAGCACTCTACCACTGAGCTACCTTCCCAGTCTGATTCTCTACTTTTCTTAATGTGCTTGTGGTATTACATGCTTTCATATCTGTTAGTCATTTATATTTCTTCTGTGAAATAATGTATTCATATTCACTGTTTATGCTTTTTACTGTGGGGTTCACTTTTTAATTTTAAGGGTTCTTAATATATTAGGGATTGTTTTTATCCTATTCTAACTGGCTCTCCATGACTTCTGTGATTCTGTTATGTTAGAGCATAAAGATTTTGCTGCTGCATTTAAGTTCTTAATCAGTTGACCTTAAAATACAGAGATTATCCTGGTGAGTCTAATATTATCACTTGAACCCTTGGAGTATTTTCTCTGGCTTGTGGCAAAAGGGAAAGTTAGAACCAGAAGGACTTAGGTCTCTGTTGCTGGCTTTGAGATGGAAGCGCCAAGTATAAGGAACAAAGATCAGTTTCTTTAAGCAAAGAATGATCTCTGGCTGACAGCCAGCAGGGAAATAGCACCCTGGTTCTACAACTTAAAACAGCTAAACTCTACCAACAACCTCAATGAGCCTGGATACTGATTCTTCCCCAGAGACTGGAGATAAGAGGAAACTCAGACACAAGGTTGACTTTGAGCTTGTCTGATGATCCTAAAAAACCAAACCAAGGGGAATCCACCCAACTAAATAAAATGGGTGTTATTTAAACTAACAAGGTCTGAGATAATGCTTAAAAGAAAAAACTAATATGTTATTTTTTTGTTCATTCTTTTCTAGTCATTTTATAAAAATTCAAGTGATACAATTTGCACTAAAATAATTGTGATTTCTTCCATAAAAATAAGATAAATGTAGATGATTTTAATAGTGTTACAGTGAAATGAAACAATTTTTAAAAACTTATCCGAAGATTTGACTTGGCACAACTTATAAGGAAAAGAAAAGGTACAACTATGACAGACATAGGAAGAAGGTAAATAATTTATAAAAAGACAGTTTGTATTAAAGGCATTAAAGTACTTACTTTGTCATTAAGCCTAGAGAAGTCAGTGTATCTCCGGAAAACGACCCAGCTTTCTTCTGGGGCTTTCTTTACCAATATTTTGTACACCTGGGGTGAGAAGAGGGGAGAAGGGAGAGAGAGAAGAGAAAGGAGACAGAGAAAGAGACATACACACACACATACACAGAGAACACAAACTATTAACAATTATTGCAAAAAAATCAGAAATTATTTAGATTATTAAATGTACAGAAAACTAATGGAGGTGCAGCAACAGTTCTTAATAGAACAAATTTGAGATTTTTTTCTGTGCATAATAAACTAATGAGCTTCAATGTTTGTCAACATATTCTAAAATTGAAATAAGAATCATGCATGTTTGAACAAGCTATAAAAATAGCTCTTTTTGTTCTACATAAGTAATTTAATTTTTAAATCTAATACCAAACTAAATTCTCAAGTAAGTTCAGAAATATTTAAAAATTATACATAGTAGATAAAAACTTTCCATTTCTGTAACTATGTGTAATTATTTAGGATACTATGTAGAAAAATTCAGTTGAAGCAAGCCAACATCTTCAAAAAACATTAGAAAAACATAGTTTGTTTTTTCTTTATGAGCTGATCCTGAGACTAAACTCTAGCCCAGGTGCTGTCCCTAAACTTTTTTGCTCAAGGATAGCATGCTACTAAAGAACCACATCTCCACTTCTAGCTTTTCAGAAGTTAAATGAAGGTAAGAGTTTTATGGACTTCTCTGCCTGGTTTGATTTTAAATTGAGATTCTCAGATCTCCTCCTGAGTAGCTAGGATTACAGGTGTGAGCCACCAAAGTCTAGCCTATATTTTATTTTTTTTTAAAGTATGAGTAGCTGGGCGCTGGTGGCTCACGCCTGTAATCCTAGCTACTAAAGAGGCTGAGATCAGAGGATCATGGTTCAAAGCTAGCCTGGGCAGGAGAGTCCATGAGACCCTTATCTCCAATAAACCACCCCAGAAAATCAGAAGTGGTGCTGTGGCTCAAGTGTAGAGCACTCGCTTTAAGCTGAAGAGCTGCGGGATAGCGCCCAGGCCAAGTTCAAGCCCCAGGACAGACAAAAATAAATAAATAAGTGTGAGTATAAGCAGGGTATCTGTGGCTTACACCTGTAATCCTAACTACTCAGGAGCTTGAAATACAAGGATGGCAGTTTAAAGCCAGCCTGGGCAGGAGCTGTGGCTCAAGTAATAGAGTGCTAGCTTTGAGCACAAAATCTCTAGGTTCTGAGTTCAAGTTCAGCCCTCAGCTCCAGCCCCAGCTCTAGCAGACAGACAGAGAAACACACACACAGAGAAACATAAACACAAGTTTATGTTTAGAATTTAATATGTGGATTTGTTCTTTAAGACAAAATTTCAAGAGAAGCATATGCTAATAGTCTGTTATAGGATTATATGTAAGCTAAAATATAATCTGCTGAATACTTTGCTGAATTCTTTTCTTTTTCTTTTTGGGTCTGGTCGTGGGGCCTGAACTCTGGGCCTGGGCGCTGTCCCTCAGCTCTTCAGCTCAAGGCTAGCGCTCTACCATTTCAGCCACAGCGCCACTTCCAGCTTTTTTCTTTTTGTTTATGTGGTGCTGAGGAATCGAACCCAGGGCCTCGAGCATGCAAGGCAAGCGCTCTACCACTGAGCCACCTTCCCAGCCCCCTGCTGAATTCTTTTCAACAGCTCTCCACATGAGACTAACGGATACTTGAAATCTGAAGTCCAAAATGACATGTAGTGTATGTGCAAACCATACTCTGGATTTTAAAATAGGGTGAAGACACTATGTAGTTTTTAATTAAAATTATTTTATACTGATTATACATTGAGATATTTTAGATATATTAAATGAACCAAAAATCAAATTAAAAATTACAAATGTGCTGAAGGGGTAATTCATGCTTGAAATTCTAGCTACTAAGTAGGCAAAAACTTGGAAAATCATAGTTTGAGGGCAAAAAGTTCATAAGACAACCCCCAATCTCAACCAACTTGCTAGATATGTTGGTTTATGAATATCATCTCAGAGATAGTCATGAGAAAGTAAATAGGAAGATTGTGGTCCAAGCTGGCCTGGGCATAAAACACGACATAAGAAAAATAAGAAAAAAAAATAGAGGTGTATCTCAAGTGCCTAGTAAGTATAATAAGTTTTTAAGTATGAACTCTAATGTTGCCCATATATATGTATATGTATATGTGTATCTGCATGTATTTGTGTGTGCATTACAAATGTGATTCAGCCAAGCATAGTAGTACATGCTTATATTCAAGCCTCATGGGAGGTAAAGTAGGAAGACTGAGGTTCAAAGGTCAGCTTTGGCAAAAGCAAGAGATCCTATCTAAAAAAACAAACTAAAAACGAAAATACTCACAATTAAATGTGAGCTGTTTTCCCCCCTCCACACACACAAAATAAATAAAAACAAAACGAAAATACTGGTGAATGTGGCTCAAGAGACAGAGTGCTTACCTAGCACCAACAAATGCAAAACTCTGAATTCATTCCCCAGTAAAATCAAAGAAAACAATCAGACGTGTGACTCATACTTGTAATTCAAATTATTCTCCTATTGGACAATGCTGCTATAAAGATAAATCATTATTTAAGAACTATGAACCATCCTTGCCATTTGAATTTTTTCCTCTATGGACTATCCTTTCAGCTTTTAAGTAGAAGAATCAGCAAGGGTATAGTATCAATCTTTTAGAAGTGAAAAACATTTACCTTTGTAAAATATAAGGATGGAAAATGAGATGACTAGGATACCTTTTAAAGAATGCAAAAAAAGTCTTGATTCAAGAAAGTCATAATGAGGACACAAAAAGATTTAAGAGATAAATTGATTCAAAATTTCTGAGAATGACTCATGAATAATAAAAGTCAATGGCATATGATAGTTAGATTTAAACTATCAATAACATATATTGATTTTGTTTTCCTATTTTAGAAAGTAGCCCCCTCATACACACACCAAGTGATCTCTTCTGTGGCCTGTGAAGAGTCTTATTTTTCTAAGAAAGAGAGAATATTGATCTTTGTATCTTACTTTTTCTAAAAAGTTCTTTCTAACTTTGTATTCAGTGCTTCTAATGAAAAAGAATTATATGCAGTACTAATCATTCTACATTCTAATAGCAGCTATTATTTCATTTGAAGCTTAGTTGTGAAGTCCTTATTTATAAGGTATATAAAGAAGGTTTATAAGGTATATAGAAGCATGCCTGAAATTATAAAATATATATGGAAAAGTACAAAGTATAATTTTAACTGTATAACTTGATACATTACATTATCCCTTGAAGACCCTCTTGTCTCCTTTCAGATCCTAATCCCCATCCCTCCTAGCCACCTTCAGTTTCTAACTATCCCCCTTAAAGACGTAACAATGTGAAAGACAAGATCTTAACAGTCTAATTTTTATCTATTTAAGCTACCAATTCAAAGGTTGAGAGATCAGAGAAACAAAGGATCAAAGGGACAAAAGATCAAAGGGACATACCTAGGAAAAAAATATTTTGAACATCTAAGGCTCTCAGCTTATTATCTCCACCTCATATCTTTTCCTCAACTCAATCAAGATACATACATAGTATCCCTGTGTATGTCTACCCACATATAGGACTTTGAAACCAACTAGGCATTTCCAATGCATCATTTTCAAAAACAAATCCTCATCTACCTCATAAATCTGCCATCTGATTAAACAGTAATCTTACTTGTCTTGTTGATTATGCCAACTTTGAGACCAGCTTTGACTTCTTTCAACATTCTACTTCCAAAATATTAGGGATTTTACTTTCAGGATAACTTCTTGAAACCTCTTAATCATCCTAGTCTATGTCATTCTGCTTCCCTGTATTATTTCACAACCTAACTGCTTCCTGCTATCAAAAGTCCTCATATTATCTAATCTCAGTTCAGCAGCCAGAATAAGCCTTTTAAAATATTAAGCCATATTACATGATTCTTCTTTTAAAATCCTTTATAAATATTCCCATCTTACTTTGGGTATAATTCAAAATTCTAAAGATGTGACCATCTGTGTGCTACAATCTGTGTAGCCTGCCTTTTACCTACTATCTTAGACCTATCCATTTGCTTATTCTGTCAGCCATAAGAGTTGTTGAACCTGTTGCATCTGTATGGAAAGCTCTTGCCTCAGATAGTGCCTATTAGTACTAACATTTTTTTTTCCTGTGAAATCATGACTGGCAACAATATTTAAATCTGTGTCTGTCATTTCTCTAAAGTGGATACCAGCAATATCTTTAGTTAGTTATCATTTATTGATTGATTCATTCATTTACTTAAATTGCCAAACTACCATCACCAGAAAGAGTAGTAACTGAAAAAGCTGAGTTAAGGAGCATATGAATAGGAGTACTTTTATCTTTTTACATCTTTTTCCACAGTACTATCAAGGAAGACTATGTATTCTTCTACAACGTCATGCAAGACACCTATATTTATATATTATTGCCTTAAATTTGGCTACAAATTAGCATTTTCACACATATCACAATTTAGTCCATTTAGGCTACAATTTAGCATAAATCAGATACTTCATATGGAATAGAAATTAATTTTTTTCACAATTCTAGAGACTGGGTAGTCTAAAATCAAGATAATATCAGATTTGGTGTCTGAGGAGGGCTCAATTTCTGTGTCCTGGGACAGGCATAAAGGACACACAAGGGAGCTCTATGGGCCTTTTTTATAAGAGTACTAATTCTATTTATGAGGGCTCTTCCTCCATCACCCACAAATTCCCTACATCTTAATGCCATCATCTTGGAGTTTAGAATTCTGAGGGGTTGGATGACATAAACATTCACATAATCATATTACCTAAGTAATATTCATTCTTTCATAAAGAAGGTAGGTAAATGAGAGGTAATGAGCCATTACATAATTTCTAAAACTGTTCTCGAAAGGAAGTTTTATGCAGGTTTTCCACCTTATAATAATTTTAAAGACTATCTCTTCATAATTTGGGTCAACATTTTTCCTTAGAGGCTCTCCCATCTTGGCATAAACTGGTGGCATGACATACTAAGACAAACTAAGTTTACTAAAGAAATTCCAAAAACTAAACTCTTTGAACTAATGTTAGCAAGGATAACATACATAAATGTAAAGAGGTCAACATACAAGGTCAAAGTATGTAAATTAGTAATAAACAAATAAAAAAAATCCCTAAGAAACAAGACCCATATCCAAAAGTAACTCAAACTAAGAGGAAAAAAAAATCTCTGTATTGACCACCATTTAGAAAAAATTAAATACTTAAGGCCTAGTTCATATATTAGAAGACAATACTGAAAAGATATCAGCTCTCTTTGGACTAATTTACAGATTTAACCAATCTCATTACAAAGGTTCAAGAACAGCCAAGTCAATCATGAAGAAAACAAAGCTAGAATATTTAAACTGCTGGGTTTCAAGACTTATGATAAAGGTTTACTAATTAAGGCTGTGAAATTAATGTGGGATAGAAAACAATGCAGAAATAGAGGTAGGTATACATTTATAGTCACATGATTAATGCCACAGGCAACATTGAAAATGCAGAGGGATACATGTTGTTACCATTTTTTTTTCTCATTTTCAAATTGGTGTTCTTTTGAACTTGCTTTTTAAAAAATTTCATTTGTGCTGTCATCTTCAAATAGATGTACAAAGGGATTTCAATTTAATATGTACATTTATGCATACAATGCAGTTTGATTAGAGTAGCACTTTCCATAATTCTCCCAATAGTGATTCTTTTAAAAGCCTGATTAATTGATCTCAGCAGTCTGACCCTTATGTTACACCAGTGACAAAAAATAACTCTGGATGATTTATATATTTAATGTGAAAGACCTAACTAAAAACTTAGAAGCTGGATGCGTGGCTCATGCCTGTAACCCTAGCTACTCAGGAGACCGAGGTCTGAGGATCACAGTTCAAAGCCAGCCTGTATCTCCAATTATCCATCAGAAAACTGGAAGAGGCACTGTGGCTCAAGTAGTAGAGTGCTAGCCTTGAGCTGAAGAGCTCAGAGACAGCACGCAGGAGCAGGGTTCAAGCCCCATGACCAACCAAAAAAAACCCCCAAAACAAAACATGAAGCAACATCTTTATAACTTTGGTATAGACAGATTTGAAAAAGTGTTAGTGAAAGCTGGGTTTGGCAGTACATGTCAGTAATTCTAGCACATGGGAAATGCAGGCAGAATGGCAATGGAAATTTTGAAAATTTGAAAACTGAAAAGTTGAGAGCAAACTGGGCTACATAATACCCTGCCTCAAAAAAAGCAACATAAAAAGTAGCCATAAAATATTAATAAATTGGAATAGTAAAAAAGATTTTATCAAACATATTGTTAAGAATGTGAGAACTGTAATGCATGTATCCCAAAAAACAACAAAAAACATTTCCACAATGCATAGAAACTACAAATAAAGACAAGGAAACAAACTGAAAAATCTTAAACAGATTATCTCACAAGGTATTATCTAAAAGCTAAAACTTAAATTCTTAGCTGGGTATCAGTGGTTCATGCTTATAATTCTAGCTATGCAAGAGGCTGAGGTATAAGGACCCTGTTTTAAAGCCATCCTGAACTAAGACTCTTCTCTCCAACAGCTGGAAGTGGAGCTGTGGCTCAAGTGATAGAACGCTAGCCTTGAGCAAAATTGCTTACAGACAGCATCCAGGCCCTGAGTTCAAGCCTCAGGACCAGCAAATAAATAAAATAACATTATTTCATTAGTCATTAGGAAAATCCAAAATAGCACTGAGATATTCTAAATAATTAAACTAAAATACAGGAAATGAAAAAAGAAAAACACATGTTGTGAGACTAGACTCAAAAGAGCAATTCCATTTATATAAAGTACAAAATAGGCAAAATGAATCCAGGCTATCAGAAAAGTATTTGGTGAGTGAGTGAGTCTGGACTGGCAGACAGCACAGGGTGCTTTCAGATGTTAATAATGTTCTGTTCTCTTGATATATGTGCGACTGGTTTGTGAAAATTCATTAAGGTAAAATAAAAGTTTATTATAGATAGCATGAGAGATTTCAAGGATATAACAATAAAAGTATGTTCAAGGACCTCTAAGTAAAGGTATATATTAATTAGCACAAGTTTAAATACAGAATTATCCAGTCTTTCACTTTCCATTGGTGTACAGCAGAAAGCAATACTTACAGTAAATTTGGCTCTTTCTTCCATCACCTCATAGCCCAGTATAGTAGGTGTAGATGGTCTGTCTTCCCAATTCACTGTTTCAGGATTTTGTTCTTCAGGTTCTCTTGGTCTAGCAGAATACTCAATGGAAGAATCGGTTCCTGTAAATCTAGTCCTAATGAGAGGACTGCTACAGACAGATGAAGTACTATCCATTCGATCAGGAACACTTGTCTGTTTAAAATTACACATATTTGAGTCTTGAGAGTTTGAGCTTGTTGAGACACTGCCAAAAGAAGAACTTCTCTGATTTCTGTTGTTTGTAAAACTGGAAGCAGAGTTTCCTAGGGGCATAGGAACTGGAACATAAGGAGTTGCCATCTTCTTTGGCCTTTGCAACAAACCTGTATTCTGCAGAGTCCTAGCACTTAGACAACAACTAATATGCAATCCATTGTTTCTTTCCCTAGGAATTCATTATCTAAAAATAAGAAAAACACAATGAAAGGCTAATAGGGAGACTAATCCAAAGCAAACAGAACATTCTTTTAAATTTGTGATGCTCTATTAATTTGTTTCAAATGAAAACAAACATGAACCCCTTCCTTTAATATCAAACCATTTCAAAGGACTCTGGTTTACAAGATAAAGAATAAAATGATTCCACATTCCTTTTCTTGATCCTCCTGTTGCTCTTATCCCATTTTTTTATATTGTGAAGGAGATACTTGGTCCTAAGAACCACAAAAGAGGATTGTGTGAGGATTGGATTCAATCCCCTATAGGAAGAGGGAGAAAAGTAGCTTAGAATGAGAAAGAATGGCAAAGAAGCTCCTGAAGCTTTATCCTGACAGTGTTGTATACAGTATTAAAAGGCAAGGAGGTAGAGGAAAATTATTCACTATTACCTTTAGGTAGTTAAAACTCTTAAGGATTTACAGATAATACCACCAATCAGTCTGAAGCTTAGATACTGGTGATATCTAACAATTGCTTTTAAAGTAACATTTAGCCAGGGTCAGATGGAGGTTGAGAGGATTGCAGTTGGGGGCTAGTCGAGGTAGCCAAGTTCATAAGACCCCTTTTTAACCAACAGCTGGGTGTGGTCATGCTGTCATCCAAGCTATATAAAAGGATCAGCTGGACAGAAAAATCTGTGACACAGTCCACCTTAGAGGAAGAAGCTGGGTGTATTTGTATGCAATTGTCATTCCAACTACATAGGAAAGCAAAAAAAAAAAATAATATATATATATAGGAGGATCATAGTCCACTGCAAAAAACAAAAACCAGTGCAAAAGGAGTGGGGTATAGCTAAATGGTAGAGTACCTGCTACTACTCTTGTGGGTGAGGACTCCTGAGTTCAATCTTTGAGCCTTGTCCCCAAAGTAACAATTTGTAAATTTAGGATCAAACATATTTAAAAATAAACCTAATCAAACTACTAAAACCCAATAAAGAGTAAACTTGATAATAGTTTGCTTTGTAACCAAGAGAACATTTAGCAAATCTTTGTAATTCATACTTGATGTTATTAAAAGGATTAGAGTATTGTATCAGAATAATTTCACAACAATACAAAGAGGTAATGGTTTACCATTAGGCTGTTAATAAACTCATAATGAATTAATAAACCACAGACCAACCAAACAACAGGACTGCACATAGCAACAATGGGTCTGCCTGGCCAACTTTATCCATGCAACTCCTAGGGTGAGAAAGGTAGGGTTTGGAAAGATGCTGAAACTGAATTTTTTTTTTAAAACTCAGCATGTGGCTCTGAATAACCTTCCCTATTATCACAGATTCTAGAAACCGAGGTACTGCTCTGCCTGATGGCCTCTCACTTCCTCCTCTTCCTACGCCCCCCACCCCAGAGTAAATTTTTAAAAGTCGAAATCTCTACCTTCTCAACGTCTGCGGGATGACCTTGCCCTCCGCCACCGGAGATCACCAGGCCAGGGGAAGGTGGCATATCAACACAACCACCAACTCCCATCGGAGGGGACACTGTCTAAGCGTTCAGAAAACGCACTGTGCTCCTTAGGAGGGCCTCTACTTTGGTCCTCCCCAGGAGATGCTCCAGGAAGAATCACGGGGGCCTCACCTTGGGCAGGTGAGGTACTGACGCTAGGCAGTGGGCACAGACCGACCCCTTGGAGGTATGGTCAGGGGTAGCCCGGGCTCCGGCCTCAGGCTCCGTGGGCGGCAACATCTGCAGCTCTCGGTGGTTCCTGGGGGCGGAGGCCTTAGGGTCTGCCCTGGCCGGGGCGGAGCCAGCGCTCCAGACCGCGGGCGGAGTCCGGGGATCCCGTCTACGCGGAGGGGTTCGGGGCTGGGGAGAGGTCCCGGGGTGTCTCTTCCCCTCCCGCCACCCTCGACCGGTGCTGGTGTCCCGGCACGCCCGCCCGGTGTCCGGCACGCCCGCCTGGTGACCCCGCCCGCCCGGTGTCCCCGCCCGCCCGCCCGGTGTCCCCCGCTCTCCCGCCCGGTGTCCCCCGCACGCCAGCCCGGTGTCCCCGCACGCCAGCCCGGTGTCCCCGCACGCCCGCCACTCAGTCCCTACCTCAGAGCACTCCACGACCAGGCTCCAGGGCGCTCCCCGGGGGAGGTGAAGCCGGCCGGTCCTCAACCGGACAGCAGCTGGTCGCCGCCTCCCACGGCACCGGGATGCCACACGTGACCCTCAGCCCCGAACACGGCTGCTCCTCACCTCCGCCCGCCACTGGGCCCCGGTTCCCGGCAAGTGGAGGGCGGGCGTCCGGGGTGCCGCTCCGGAAGTGACGCCACGCCAGGACGACCATCCGGGAGGCGCACAGTTGAAGTGTCTGCTCCTGGCTCTCTGGCTGGGGGTTTAAATGGAATCCTGCGGTAGGAAGTTGGCACTTTTCTGTGGTAGCTTCTGGGAAAACCGGTGCGACGAGTTGTTTGCCCAGCAAGTGACTAGAAGACTTCATTTCCCAGGAGGCACTATGGGCGACGTTAGTGTGGACTCTAGCTTTGCATCATGGGACTTGTAGTCTCCACCTATTTGGGCTGGTTCTGCTAGGTTATTATTTTCCAGAATTGACAGGGCCTTAAGGGATAGCGACTGATTGGAAGAGTAGGCAGACGGAGATCTTCACTTTTATCTATTTGCCTTATGTAATTCAAAAGTTACAGACTTTTGAATTGTTGAATTAAAAAATATTCTGGGGGAGTAATTTATCCCAAATGATTAAATAAATAGGTTGATTACACTTGCTCATGTGAAAACTCACAAAGTTATCAATCACGACATTCTTTGATAGTTAAATATCAAGATTGAGATAAGTCTATAGGCCTGGTCATCCTTAGGGTTTTGCAGTTGGATTTAAAGGTCATTCTATGATTTCTAGGGCTTTGGAGCATTTCTGAGACTGGGAAAAATTAGTGTTAATGTAATAAGGAAAATGTGTCATAATAGTCTGCTTGGTTTGTGAACTAACTGTTGGCCTTTAAATATAAATGAAACATAAAATTGTGTTCTGTGGAAACTGGGGACTGATTATTATAGATGTTATTTCATGGTATACTTGGCAGTATTAGCTTTGAACTAAGAAAAACATCACATAGTACATTAAAAACAACAACAAAGAAAAACCTCTTGTGTCCATATCTTGAGCTATGTCACTGAATAAAAGTAAAAAAAATCAAAGAAAAATGAGACTTTAAAAATTTTTTCTCAGGCTGGGGAGGTGGCTCAGTGGTAGATTGCTTGCCTTGCATACATGAGGCCCTGGGTTTGATTCTTCAGCATCACATAAGCAGAAAAAGCTGGAAATTGTGCTGTTACTCAAGTGATAGAGTGCTATCCTTGAGCTGAAGAGCTGAGGGACAGTGCCCAGGCCCAGAGTTCAGGCCCTACCACTGGAAAAAAATATCCTTAATCATTGACAAGGTTGTTGATGGCAGTGTAATTGGAAATGCTGCAATCTAGGCAAACTGTTACCTGAAGGAGAGATTCCCCAAGGAGGAAGAGGTTTCTACCTGGTCCTTGAGTACCAAGTTCATAATGTTAATCCTCTGCCTCGAGTTTTTAGGACACACCAGGGTAGAGACAAAAAAATTACTAGTAAAGCATAGCAAAAGAAGGACAGTGCATGACTTGGACATGCATATCTGATAGCAGATGCAAAACAGCTCCAGCATCACAGATATTTATGGTAAAAGATTAAGCGGGGAGGTTTATTCAAATTTACCAGAGGATAAATGCTCCCATTTTATTTGACACTTGGTATACCTTATCAATATTACAATTACACTGTTTTACCAATTATGCCTAGTGATTTCAATAATGATCAATTTAGTAAATTTGGGGGCATATGACATAAGATGTTAAAGCCTTTCTTCTAGGGGTGGGGAAACATTTTTTTTTTTTGGCTAAGAGCCATTTGAATACTTATAACATCATTCATGGGTCTAGAATGAATCTCACATTGACAAAAAGCTCCTAAAGTTATTGAGTTTTGAGTCCCACCTGAAGTTGCCTTGGCTATGTTTAACTAAATGATTTCTTGGGCTATAGCCCTGTGGACCAGAAGTTCCTCACCCTAATGAGTTCTGCCAGATGGTTTATTATGACAGGTTTCCATCCTTGAGATGACTTTTTTACAAACAGTTTTTATGGAAAGAAATCATTTTTAAGAGTTTTTTTCCCTAGCTTAAGTGTTTTTCTTTAAGATATCATTTCCAGGTTCCTAAAGCACACTAGAAATTATTTGAGGAAGCAGACAAGGTTGGAGGAAAGACTCTTTCAAAATGTTGAAGCTTATGAGACAGTATGAAACCAAAAGGAAAGAAATAGCATCTTGTGCTTTTAGTTGTTATTCATTAATAAGTATCTCTGAATTTGTGGCGGCTGTTTCCCATGTCTCATTTTATTCTGATCTATCCTGCCTGAGTTCCAAAAAGAAACCTGTAGTGAAGAAAATCTGACAGTTGAATGCATAGGAAGGCAGGGAAAATATTTAGAAAAAGAATGAACAAGTACATTTATACCTATTGAAAATATGAACCTACAAATACCACTGTTATAAGGAGGATAACGATCTAGAAAGGGGAATTTAAATTGTCCAAGGACCATTGAATCATGTACAAATTATTAAGCAAAGAATAACAAAATCTATACACTACATGTTTTCTGGCATTGATAAATATTATTTCTTCAAATGACTAAACAGATTCACTAACCAAGAAAGACTATCTATCCTAAGTTTGAGTGGTCAAAGTTAAAAATAACACATTATGATAAACCATATTTTATGGTTAGTCACTGTTTGTACAATTTCTTTTCTTCAGGTCTGAGCTGTCTCATATAGTGCCCATAATCAAATTACATTGTTTGAGTTTCACTTGAAGAATAACATCAAGTTGTTTTTCTGCCTCAATTACTATAACTTTATATAGATTATATATCCTTCAAAGGACATTTTGAGTTTACCTAAGGCATAAATTTATGTAATCATATAGTGGTGTAGTAACTGGAGTTGGTGGGGGAGAAAAGGGAAGGAAGAGTTAAAAATTATAGCATAAAATAAAGCATATATATTGAGTAGAGATCTTTTGAATGGTTTCTTAGATTCTAACACTTTTTCTTTCTTAGGAATTAGTCTCTCTCCTATACTGTGGGGCTTTTCATCATAGTTAGCTGAGCCTAAGAGGAACATTTGAATAAGTTATTTCCAACAATGGTTTTTCCTAATAGCTAAATTTGGAAATTGAGGAAATAAACCAGTTGGAAATCAATAGACCTGAAGTCAGGCCAAAGAAAATTCTGTGATAAGGCCTGTGAAGTTCCACAGCTATTTTCTCTGAAATTATTAGATCCTTTCCTTTTCTCAAATTTCTCCTGAACTCTTAATAGATAACCTAATGGTCTTTCAGTATATAAGCATTTTGCTTAAATCTGTCCAGAGTTAGTTTTCGTAATACCAAAGGGCAAGAAATACAGTAAGTTGAGGTGATATAAACTGCAAATGAATGCTAGTAAAAACTACTTCTTATCTGTTCAAATAGTTGTCAATTATTCATAAACATTCATAAACTAAGATTTTAAAACAAAGTGTTGTATCTTGTGATCTATCTGCTTATGATATGAAGAAACATTTGCTCAATAACTTACGAATAAAGTAAAATTAATTTATCAAAAATAATTCCATTAATTATTTTGGTTTAATTTTATAGATTTCCTAATTCATGCATATTGTTTTCTATGGGTAGTGTTTCTTTAGTTTTAAATTTAGGATCTGCACTCTATTTGCCCTCTACCTTCTCATCGTCATGAATTATGATCCCTGAGAAAGAACCACAGTGATCTATTATTAGAGCAATGAGAGGTGACCAAAGTCGGTAACATGGCAACATGATAGCTCAGTTATCTCAATAAATCTGTGACCTATCCAAGGCAGGAACTACATGATGTGTATAATAATAGAGATGGAAGCACATTAAAACAGCTACCATTGATTAGCGAGTTTTGCTTATATTACACCAGGAAAGTTTTGTAGCATGTGTAGAAATCCTGCTGAAACATAATAATACATAATTTCCACAAATAGCAGTCATAGTTTTAGAACTAACAAAGCATAATGATCATAAAGGGTGTAGGCTGGACCTTCGAATAGCTATACTGACAAGACACTGGTTGACAACTCATCTCTGACCTCGTTCCAGGAATTGTGGTTCCTCTCAGATAATATCTAGTCCAAGTGTTTTTTGCTTTCCCATGGACCATAGTTATTCATAGTTTATTCATTCTAGCTATAGCTCACTCTGGTTTTTTTTTGGTCTTGGAAAATGTTATCCAGTGCTTGTTCTATCCCCAGCTTTTTGATGGTTTTATGCTTCACTATCTGGCATTCATCTGATGTTACTTTAATTTTCCTTGTTGAGCGATGGGAGAAATATTGAGAAGAAGTTGACAAGGCAAAGTACATTTTTAGAGCACAGATTAGGGTTGTAGTTGAGAGAGGACTATCCCAGACAGAAGGGCATAAAGTATATTAATCAGAAATTTATTAGAATGAGACACTGTTGTTTGTATCTATGAAAGATTATAGAAATGAAATTTGAATTTTTATGTATTTGTGAAAACTAATGTGGAAAGAGATGGTAAGGTCTCAGCTCTAAGGCACTGGCACAGGAATTAAACATTGTAGGAGTATTGTTAAATATTGATAAGCACTGATACTGATAAGCCTTTATTGTGGGCATAATTTGAAAGTTTATTTTCCTGTAAATGTGCTGAGACTTTGGAAGTTAGGGAGATTCAGCTCAGTAATTGACACCTCTCCAGCCTTCTCTTCATGATCAACTGTCTTGAGTGAGGAACTTCTAGCATTCAACTAAATTGACAGCACTGGCTCCTTTGAACCCCAAACAGGACCCTAACTCTTGCCCCAGGAAACAGCATGTGCTAGAGTGTTTCTACTACAAGCTTTGGTGAACTTTAGATGATGCTGCAGCCACTTCTACCCTGGGCAAAGGGGAAGCTCTTCTTAGTGGCTCAGTAGAAGATGAACTTGGTGACTAGCACAACATAGCCCTTCCTTTGCATAAGGGATACCATGATGGGTATAGATTTCTTTGACATACCTCTTTTCTGCTTTGATGAGCATCCAGGAAATATCATCGTTTGCTGCCCTCTGGTGTTTCTTAGCAAGTCTAATAAAGACTACTATTTGGTGGACTTCTTTGCCTAGCTTTGCTTCTTATTATTAGTAGAAGAGCTGAACTGGTAAAGTGAAGACAAAGAGAAGTGGTTTCAGAGCTAGCCTCAGTAGCAAGAGGAATGGTTAGACTTA